TTTTTTTTTTTTTTTTTTTTTTTTTGGAAAAATGCATTCTATAAATTAAGAACGAACATATTTTTATATAAAGTCAAGGGAACAAATATAATTATTTAAAAATAAACATCAGAACAAAGTAGGAATAGAAGTTGACTAACATAGAATTGACCAAATAATAAATAGCTATATGTTTCACTTGGGTAATTTTCAATTTACAAATTGAGTTTTCAAAAAAGGATGTGTTATTACCCCCAAAAAAATACCCATGTGGAGTGAACTAGACTCCTCCATATCCGTTACGGCACAAGTGAAGGAGGATATTTATTACGTAGCTTGGGGCTTAGGGTAATGGAAGGAGACTCGATCTAAACAAACAACAGGTTGCACTGACAAAAGTTAGCATTTATGTATTTTAATCTGAATGGGTCAACAGTTTAAACCGTGTCAAACTTGATTACAACACATTATTCCTACATCCTCAGGCTTAGCAACGGATATTATTATATTAGGAAACAGCAAAGTGGTAGATTCTTTCTCCATCCCTCTCGCCCAGTCTAAAACGTAACCTAGGCTGTTGAAAGACGACTCATCAGTATTTACCCTAAACGCTTGGAAACTTGCTACTCTCTTCAAATTTCACTTGCTTATTATAGTCTTATTACCACATAATTGGACCCTCCGAGCAACCAGGAATGCCGAGATTGACATTTTCCCATGTTGAATGTTGTTTTCTTACAATAATTTCAACCATGTTGAATGTGTACCAACTTAATTCTTCTATACGATTCTCATAGCATTTCCTTGGGTGTGTGTGTGTGTGTGTGCAGAAACATAGGCCAGGTTTCACTGAACTTGAATTCAAAGGTACGCAGCAAAAGAAATGCTAAAATTTGACTGACCTGGAAACTCTTCCGAGGAATTCATCAAGAGATTTCCATTTCCAATATCATCAATTTATTTTGGGACTGAGGTAGAACTTTGGATCCCTGAAAAAGCTCCTAATTCTCTCTGCCTTGTCCACTGACAGATCTGTGTTCTCCAAAATGCACTCCTTGGATGCTTTCGCGATTGCCTCGATTGAACCAATAGCTTGATTTAGCTGAAGAGTAGCCACATAAGAATGCTCAAATAAAACCCTTACAACTAGAGAGTACATATTTCCATCAATAAATTTCCTTTTTCAGTCGTCTCAAGATCAGTATCACATACAAGTGAAAGACGCATGCAACAATCGCCTTTACTTTGGTGGTCAATAACTCGAGAGTGAATGGTTTCTAGGTTATATCAGAGATACATAGAACGAGAAATGGAACAAACAAGAAAACTATGCCACACAATGAAGAGTGTGAGCTGGTTTTGTTCAAGTAAGCTTACCGAATTCGCATCATGATCATCAAGGCCTGGTACAGAAGACATGACTCTACGAAAAGCATCCATGACTTGCACGGATCTCTTCCTCTTCAACAAGAGCCCCAAAAGGGGGAGAAGGTGATTAAAACAGTGTAAAAAAGACATTATACGACCACCAGAGGTTAAATTGTCATTACTAATTCAAGTAGAATATATCTACACCAACTGACCTCAGTCCTCAGTTTTGACATGACATCTTGCTGCTTGCATGCTGTAATTTGATATAATTATTGAAGATGATTAAGAAAAGTATTCGGCCCAGATTAAAAATGGTTATTACCTCCACGGGAGTGTGCTATCTTCACAATCTTCTCAAAGCCCATCTCAACATCCTGAACTGGTACAAATGGTGGCTTACCAATTTCCATCCCATTTCTCCACGAGATTTGTAGGGAAAGAAAGGCACGTAAGTTCTCGAAAAACAAAATTAAAATACAGCAAGGAACCATAAGTGCCAGACTATGGTTACCTGAAGTAAGATTGAACAAATGAATCATTCTGCTCCTTGGTTGGAAGGGCAACAACAACATAGAAATTTGCAAACTGCTTCATCAACTTCTGAACTCTGTCAAAATCAGACTGAATCAAACACAACAAAAGGCAAAACCAGCAAAAATAATAATAATAATAAATAAATAAATAAACAACAACAACAACAACAACAAAGCTACCTGCAAAAGATTGATGACGTATTGCTGCAATCCCAACTTGTCACAAAAGCAAAAGCCACTGATAAACCCCCACAATTGAATATCAAGTCCTATAAGTGATTGCTATGAGTACAGAACGGTTGCCAATGAAATTTACATACCGAGAATGTAAAGAAAATTACTGGAGCGATTGGAACAAAATTGAGGCGAAATGAATTTGCGCTTAGGAAATTAGACATAAAATTGATGGTGGATGGATGCTGCTCATCTCTCCATATATTGCTCATCAAACAGACTCCACCGCCTGCACTTGTGAAACAAACAGATTACTCCAATGCACCATTCTCGTGCGTGCTCAGACATTTTGAAAAATGTACATACAAGATTTTTGTTAACATGTTCTACAAGTATAACCTCATTTCGCGCATAGAGAAATTTGATCATGACAACACCACGTCCACTTTTAGAGAACCACTATTCGGGTTTTTCAATTATCATGAGGATCTTCTTTTAAATTATTAGCCAATTAAAAAAAAAATTAAATAGAAAAAGGAAGGAAAAAAAAAAGGTGGGACGCAAGATCTAACATTGGATAGCACACTCAAAACATATTATATGTGGTGGCATAAGATTCAAAAACTCGAACATGTGAAGTTACGGCTCCCAGAAAATTATCAAATGTCTCGTAAAGAAATGCATTAAATCACGAGTGTTCTTATGATAATGCTAGACGGATCAAGAACAATACTAACGTCAAGACAGTAGACGCTAACTAACAATTTTCCTAGGGAGTTCTTAAAGCACAGACAATTTACATTTCGGAGGAGATAGATCTTTGTTCACCCGGAAGTAATCAGCACAGACAACTATAATTTTCCGCGTTTGAAATCATTTTATTTGCGGAAACTATAAACGAACAAAGTAGAGATTGAGCGACAGTGACAGTTGAAAACAAGTGAACGAACATTGACATGCAATAAGCAGATTCCTCTAAAATCGGAGAGCATATTTCTTCGTGTGTTTCCAGTGTTTGTTTATTTGATGATCAATAGATATCGCATCCCCGTGCCTAAAGCAATCAATCAGGAGAATTCTGCATTGCTTTCTACCCTATGAAATACTAACATAGTCTTGTGACCTAAAATGAATTCATGAGTCCTGCATTTGCATCCGATCAAGAATATACGGCTTTCTAGTAAATAACACACAGTTTAAATCAATAAGATAGTTAAGAACAGAGTACCAGAATTTTTTGCTTTCACTTGATTTCCATCCATTTGATTAACATGTCTCTGTGACAAACTCCCCATAGCAAACTCTCAGTGATAACATAAACTTTGTACAGAACCGGGGGAGAGAGAGGGAGAGAAGCAGCGGGAGGAGAAGATATCGCGCGCGAAAATCTAAATACTGTGCGAAACGAACTTTCCGGTACGATCTAAAAGGATCCCACATTCCAGAAAGAACCGGACAATGGGAAGCCTTCGTTGAGTAATGGGAAGCGTGCTAGTCCCCGAAAAAGCCTTGCCAAAGTTGTGGCTCAAAATTCAGGAGGGCTTTTAAATTATAGCAACAGTACCGGGGCCGAGCTGAAGCCTTTATCTAAGTCCATTTAAAAGCCCATACTTAGGCCCAAGAGGAAGCCTGTATCTAAGTCCATTTCAAAGCCCATACTTAGGCGCAAGAGGAAGCCCATATCTAAGTCCATTTCTCGGGTTTTGGACCTCTCGCTGGCTATTCTTAATTGGGTCGGGTCTTGGGCATGACCTAAAGCTTCACGCCTCATGCCTCACTTCTCGTGCCTTCTTTCTTTTAGACCTCATGGCTCTTGCCTCGTGTCTTACATCTTTAAGCCTCATTGGCCTCAAGACCCATGCACCAAACTGATGAACTAGGTTGAACCAAACCAAATGGTTCGGTTCGATTATTTGAAGAAAGCTGGAGATTCGTCGGTTCTCTAACATCCAAACCGGAAAGAATCGGTTCGGTTTATCTGAGAAAGGTGTTCAACCCACCAGTGGAGAGAGCAGAGAGCAGGGAGCAGGGAGCAGGCACCAATGTCCGGCGAAAGCATCTGCAAACAGTGAAAGAAGCCCCTCAGTTATTCCGTCTCTCTCGGCCGCCGCGCCGCCCATTGGAGTTTCTGATTCTTCTTCATCTTTCTAGTCAGTACATTCCATCCGTGTACGTGGAAAGCAGAGTACTCTTTCCTTCATTGCAGTTGTTTTAGGCTTAACTATTCCACACGATGCTTTCGAGTTCCTCGATGACTTCACCTAGCCGCCCAAATTATGTATTAGTTTCGGATATTATACGTACACCTTCTCTATCTTCGCAAAGGATTAAAGCTCTAAGCTGGTTTGTTGATTCAAACATCATCCCATCTTATAGTTTCCCTTCACTGCTAAAAATGGCCAAACAACCACAGCGCAAGAATCACACCCTACACTGCTCCGCATCATTTCATTCTACTGAGACTCTTCCCCGGTTTGTTTTCAATTCACTGCACCTTTTAGTATAACTTTTCTTCCAGGGATATGTTTCAGTCTATTTACCCCCACCTCCTTAATTTTGGAAACATGAGAATGAAATAGCTCTTGGTTAGAATCTCTTCTCTGGTATTTACTTGCAGGAAAGATGAAATTGCTGTTCATGGAGTTTCTGAAAAAATTGTTGGTGTCCTAGGAGGGGGCCAACTGGGTCGTATGCTTTGTCAAGCAGCCTCCAAATTGTCCATCAAAATCGCAATTCTCGACCCACTTGTAAACTGCCCTGCTAGTTCGTTAGCTTACTATCACATGGTTGGTGACTTTGATGATAGTAATACTGTCCAAGAATTTGCTAAGAGGTACATTTTTTTACGTTCATTAGTTCTTTTTTAATGCTCATGGTAGTAACAGTAAGTTCCGTCCATGGTAGTTAGATGTGAAGTCTTAACAGTTGAAATTGAACACGTTGATGTGGCCACACTAGAGATTCTCGAGGAGCAAGGAATTGATTGTCAACCGAGAGCATCTACCATCCGTATAATTCAGGCCTGTGTTTCTTCATGTGTACATTTGGTTTTGAAAGCCATCTCTTTTTTAAGTCCAAAAGTTACTTGTCAATTGTAAGATTTTCAGTCAATCTTTTATTATGAGGACCGGATGAATGAAGACTACATCTATAATGGAAATAGAGGAATGCATAATACATACACCTTTAAAGAAGCTTCTAACCAGAAATTTGCCTATAACGCTGTTATCATGACTACATCTTATTTATCTTGCAGTACTAGTCTCCTCCCTCTCTCTTCTTGTTGGTTGATATCTATTAAAATAGCCAATGCATGTGTTATACACCTATCAAATTGTCCCTGCAATCTGCTCAAGAAGATTAAATCTTCTAACCTCCACCATTACGTTGCTCAGAGATCGAAATAAATTGTCTACTATATTTGTTTATTATTTCTGATCCTTTATCATTTATTATGTTACAGGACAAATATCTCCAAAAAGTTCATTTTTCTCAGCATGGAATTCCATTGCCCGAGTTTATGCAGGTTATATTATCTGCATTGACTTCTCCTTAATGGTGTTGCCATTCTTGCCCTTATATTTGTGTTTAACAGTAGCAGATTTCTTACTGACCATTAATGTTTTCTCTTACAGATCGAAGATCTTGAAGGTGCAAAGAAAGCAGGTGATATATTTGGTTATCCTCTCATGATTAAGAGCAAAAGATTTGCTTATGATGGACGAGGAAATGCTGTTGCGAAAAGTGTGGAGGAGCTTTCTTCTGCCATTTTTGGTGAGATATATCTGATATATAATTTGTTTCTTTATTTTAAGTTCTTTTTAAATATTGAAATTGCAATATATTAATAACAGTATGCTAAAAGCCTGTAATTTATTGCGATTTTTTAAATTTTTTTTTTTTTTTTTTTTTTTTTTTTATAAGAGACAATTTCATTGGTGAGTGAAATTTACTAGAGGGATGTATAATCCATGATGTTTACAAAAGACCTTCCCAATTTGCAATGAGGGAGGTATAACTATAGGAAGTAAAAATATTAGACAGTTTACACCAAGATATAGCTTGATAAACAACATTGTCGAAAAGTTTTGTGTAGGTCTGTATCGTTTCTGCAAATATTCTTTGATTTCTTTCTTTCCACAGATTCCAAAAGAAAGCCATGATGAGGTTTTTCCATAATAGGGCTTTTGCGTTCTTGAAAAGGTGGTACGTTAAGGCCATATCCCAAAAATCCTTTACCTCCCTAAGAAATGTGAGATGCCATCCGAATATATTAAGAATCGTTGTCCAGAAATTTTGAGTGTATGTGCATTGCATAAACAAGTGACATTGTGATTCGTTTGCTTTCTTGCATAGTGGACACCAATTTGGAGAGAGAGTGATGTAAGGCATTCTTTTTTGAAGATTTTCACTTGTGCTGATGGCTTTATGCGCTATTTCCCAAAGGAAGAACTTCACCTTTTTAGGTTGATGTTTCCATATTGTCTTTGCTAGCGTGGGATTTATTGCTTCTACTTTTTCCCCCATGTCCATCATCAAGGATTTTGTAGAAAAGACTCCGTCAGCGCTAAGGAGCCAAGTTAGTGAGTCTTCTTTGTTTGACAATACCACAGGGGCAAGGTCAAGGCTTAATTCGGCCCACTCTGTTACTTCATTATCCTTCAGATTCCTACCAAGCTTCAAATCCCAAAATTTGTTGACAACATTCCACGTTTCTTTAATCGTGGCTTTTTTGTTGTGAGAAAGCCTGTACAAAAGTGGATACTTCAAAGCTAGCGTGGTGTTTTCAATCCATGGGTTGGTCCAAAATGATGTGCTTCCCCCATTCCCCACCTTATGGTGAGTTCGGTGGGTGATGAGATTTTGATGTTTCTTTATGTACTTCCAAGGCCCTTTTGTAGAAGATGGAGGGAGGTGATCTTTGTTTGATGTAGGAGTATATTTAGCCTTTATAAGATTTCGCCATAAGGCCTTTTCTTTATGATGATATCTCCATATCCATTTGGCGAGGAGAGCTGTGTTCTTCCTTATCGAGAGAAGACCGAGACCTCCCTTTTCTGTTGGGAGGTTTATAATATTCCAACGAACAAGGTGTGCACTATCTTTCCACAAGTAATTTCTGAAAGGCCTTTCTATATCTGCGGCCACTTTTTGTGACATTTCAAATAGAGACATATAGTCCCGTAACTTTTTGAGAACAACCTATGGGTTGCTCAATGAAACGATCTTGATTTCACACTATGTTGTGGGCTGAGGAGAGAGCTACTCTACAAAGCGGTGGGAAGTGGGATAGTACTGACATCTAGCTCATCGTTAGGTTTTATGTTTTCCTTGGGGCATCAATGTTGATTTTTTTTTTTTTTTTTTTGTAGGCTTTGTTTTTTAGGATGCTCTTATGTTCCTTTATTTTTTCTCAAAGAAAGTATGCTTTAAAAAAAAAACATATGGAGATGGAGATTCGAAGCTGAGACATTTTGGTTTAGGATATGTCTTAATCAATTGTTACATTTTTTTTTGTACTTGTAGAAATTTAATTTGGGAGTCTAAGTAATTAGGCATTTTGTATGCTTGTTATGTTTACTTCTTGGTCCGTTTGAGATCTTAATTTACGCATAATTTTATTTAATATATTTCCTTGTTTTCTAATAACTTATGCACTTTGTCAATATGTCCAGCTCTGGGTGGATTTGAGCGTGGCTTATATGTCGAGAAGTGGGCACCTTTCGTGAAGGTTAGGTCTTAGCATGCTGTTTGCCTTGTTGATCATTCACCTCACTCTTAATTGCTTTTTTCTCCCTATGTATGCATTTCCCTTTCTTTATTTCTTTTCTTTTATTTATTTATTTTTATTTATTTTTATTTATTTTTATTTATTTTTATTTATTTTTATATGTAACGAAAGAATTTCATCGGGAGTAAAGCCATGTCCCAAGCAATGAAGCTTACACAAAGCTTTTCCAGTTAGCTTAAAGAACATTTTAGTGATAGTTGTTGAAAGGAGCATAGAATCTACACCAAGAGAGCCGTTAAAAAAGAGTTTCTAGAATTTTTTTAGTTTTCTTTCTTTTGTAAGAATGTGTGAATGTGATAAATGAACAATAACACAGATCAATTTGCATATGAAGCCCTGGACCTAAGCATTATGAAGTTTCTGTTTGTATATCTTTTTCAGGTTGACATCTGATCTTTGTTTTCCTTTTGTTTGATAGGAACTGTCAGTTGTTATTGCAAGAGGTAGAGACAACTTCATGGCATGCTATCCTGTTGTTGAAACTATTCACAAGTAAGTTGAAGGATACAGTTTTTATATGTTCTTCCCTTTCCCTTCTTTCAAACTTCCATTTCTCCTTGCAAGCTTTAAAAAAATGTAAATTCATGAAATGTATAGCTCAATGGTATTGGTGAGTATTACCTCCTTTATGGTAGGAGGTTCAAATCCCCACAACCCCACTTGTTATTGTAAATTGCATGCATCATATGCAAGTGTCTGTAAATTATCAATCATACTATGTCGATGTCTAACTTTTTATTTGATACCTATCTTCGTCTCTCTATTCTCAGGAGGATTATAAAGGGTTTGTAGTTGTAGAACATGAAAGATTCAAAGTTGAGGTGAACGATAAGTTTAGATGTACTTGTCCTAGGTTGAGTAAATGGAGGGAAGATAGTTCTTTCATAAGTTGGAAGATAGAAATAAACATGCTATGGTGGCGGATGTTATCCTTATGGCAAATCCTAATTATCATTTACAAAAACCTAGTTGGGTCAAGATTGACAGGTTTTTTATCAAATCTTTGTGGAGCTCAAGAAGTATTGCTTTGGCTTCCTTGGATGCAACTTGCTTTCATGGGAGTATCCTTTTATGAGTTGATCCTTCTTACAATTTCGTGAAAATGGTATTAGGTTATTAAACACTTGCTCTGAAAATTACTGTTGAGGACCTTCCTTTACTTTCGTTTCTAGCCTAAGCTTAATTCCGATCATTGCTTCTTCTTCCCCGCCGTCTTTGAGCCTTCAGCCGCCAGTCTTTTGTGGAAGTCAAAAGCTGTGTTGTCTTCACAATAGATTTATTTTTATTTTATTTTTTTTATCAACCTAATCAGCAGGGTGAAACAACTAAACAGTGGGCCATAATATCTCGACTTTCAAGTTGTAGTAGGGTCTTTTGGGAGTCTTTGATCAACCCAATATTTTTTCCACCTCCATGAATAGTTTCTACACAGTTATGCTTACTGGCCCCTTGCTTAATTCCAAAGCTAAAGCTTCTTGTTACAGTGTGGTGAAGTGTATTATGTGAAAATTTTGGCTGGAAGTAATTATAACTTTTGAAATGTTGAAGGGCAGCTCTTAACTTTTTGGGACCGTATGTTTTTGTCTCCTCTTCTCAGGCTGTGTTAGATAAGTCTTCTGTAAGTATTAGCTTTCTTTGATTCTTTATCAACTGGAGCAATTATTTGGAACTCTTGGTTCTGCAGGCTCATTTCATTTATGATAAAAATTCATTCTTATAAAGAGAAAATTGTAAGATGTAATTGCACTGATCTTACATTACTCCTGTGCATTCAGACAGCACATTGGTTCTAGCTTTGTTTTTGGCCAGTTCCTCTTGCTGGGCTGTTGTTTATAGGTCTTTTTTTTTTTTTTTTTTTCCATTTTCTCAATGATAGCTGATTTTCCATAAAAAAAGTTACTTAGGCATCACATAAAAAAATTTGTCCCTGTAGAGAAAATATTTGTCACATCGTCAAAGCTCCAGCTAGTGTGTCATGGGAGATCAAGAAACTTGCAACCGATGTTGCATTCAAAGCTGTTAGCTCTCTGGAAGGTGCTGGCATTTTTGCTGTAGAGTTGTTTTTGACAGAAGATGGTCAGGTTGTATAATCAGTGTTAACTTACTGTAAAAATATCGTGTTATTAGCATTTTTCTTCTTTTGGACTCTGGGACTAATGTACTGATCATCTTTTTTTACCTTTAACAGATTTTACTGAATGAAGTGGCACCTAGACCTCATAATAGTGGTCATCACACAATTGAGTCTTGCAAGACCTCTCAATATGAGCAGCATTTGCGGGCAGTCCTTGGTCTTCCCCTTGGCGATCCATCAATGATAACTCCAGCTGCTATTATGTATAATATTCTAGGTGAAGATGAGGTAAATTAAGAATATGTTATCCCCTTTTGCTTTGTGATATTTTCTTTATTGATTGAAACTACATTTGCTATTTTTAAAAACAAAAGAGGAAGAAACAATACATGTTAGGTGCGGCAGAATTCTTTATGTTAAGCAGCTTAAGTATTAGAGGCTAGGTAATTTAGTGATTTAAATGTTGACTATAAGTTTCAATACCAGTGAACTTATCCTGGATGAGGCTGAGATACTTGGAAGCTATATATGATATAACACAATTTGATACTTTTGAGGGCATCGATGATTGATCAATCATAATTAGGAGAACAAAGCCTTACTAACATTAAAGGCAGGGCATCAGTTCAAACTTCATAGTAGAATAGACTTTGAATATGCATGTTGTAGCTGTAAGTAAACACTTGTGATAGTTGTTCTGTTGCTGTTTTTTTCAGGGGGAACCTGGTTTTTATTTAGCTCATCAACTGATGCAAAGGGCATTGAGTATATCTGGAGCTTTTGTTCATTGGTATAATAAATCGGGTTAGGCTTAAATTTTTCTTCCTCTTTACATTTTTCCCCTTCTTGAATTGCGAACTCAACATTTAATCGACTCCCTTCATGAACCAGAAATGAGAAAGCAAAGAAAGATGGGTCACATCACGATTGTTGGCCGGTCTATGAGTGTTGTTGAAAACTTATTATCATTCACGCTTGATGAAGCTTCTGAAAAACCTGCAGGTCAGCCTCCCTCCGTGATGCTTCATGTTTTAGTGTTTCATCTGGTTTTTTTTTTTTTAGCCTGTTAACGGTTGTGTTAATTGAAGTACGATTTTCAAAGGAGTGGTTACAATGCTAATCAAATTACTATATCAGTTATTCGTATGCTCTTTCCTTAGTTATAATCTTTTCAATGTCAACTTAGAAAAGAGAAAAAAGAAAATAATGTAAAACCTCACATTATTATTTTTGGCCAATTAGAAGAAAAGGAACTAGCTTTTATACTAGTTCATACAAACGTTCAATCAGCTAGGGACTTAACTAACTAAGCCTAACAATTTTACCTACTAATCTTGAACTTCTAACTAATCTTGAAAATTAAAGAATCTGGAACGATAATACAGCTGCTAAAAAATACAGAATTTCCCTAAATGCTCAGCCTTTATAACAAATAGGCCAGATCACGCATTATGGATCTTATAAGAAAGTTATATCATGACTTATTGGTTAACTTATAAATCTAGCTTTTGTATTTCTTAGTTTCGAAGGAAAACCTCTTTCCTATTCCTAAAGGAAATTGCATATATATTGGTAGGTAGGTATCATTGAAGTTTCATATATGTATAGTAAAAATTTGATCTTTTCTCTATTTGATCATTTCTGTTTCTTATTAAAATCATACTCAACACAGTTGAACGCCGTGTTGGAATCATAATGGGCTCGGATTCAGATTTTCCTGTAATGAGAGATGCTGCAAAGGTCCTTGACACATTTGGTGTGCCTTACGAGGTTAATTTTTGTATTTGGTGATTGACGTTGTTTTTGTTCATGATATACATACTTTTGGTTAAAAATACCATTTTGGTCCATATACTTTTGATTAAATGTATATATTTAGTCTTGGGTTTTCAATTATAAAAACAGTCTCTATTAGTCTCTTTAAATTTTGAAAAAGTATTCACATTGCATGTTTCTTGCGTGAAAGTTATTATTCAACCAATTTTGATAAACGTAAGTTCAAAGGACATTTGAAGTACATGAGTTAAAATGAAACTCAAAGTAACGGAGCCACAATTGTATTTTAACCTATATTTTCTTGATGGATATATATATATATGTCTAACCTGTGAGTTTTTTTTTTTTTTCTTTTCTTTTTTCTTTCAAAAATATGCAGATAAAGATAGTTTCTGCACATCGAACCCCTGCTTGGATGTTTTCTTATGCCTCATCTGCTCAGGAGAGAGGGATCCAGGTTATCATTGCTGGTGCTGGGGGTGCAGCCCATTTACCAGGCTAGTCATTTAAATGCTTCCTAGTATATAATATTTGGATAGAACAAAATATGTCATTCTAAAGGGCTGGTGAAATGAACAAAATTGCTCGTTTACGCAGTCTTGAGTTCAAAATTACTTGGGTCACTGGCTATTGCATGTTAAATTCAGGGGATAGTTCTTAGTGTGAAATCTGGCAAACAATGAAAGATTGGGGATTTCTATATTTATTTTCCCAAAAAATAGGGAATTTATCATTAGCGACTGGTAGCTTGATTTTCAGGTATGGTTGCCTCACTTACGCCGTTGCCTGTTATTGGTGTCCCTGTGCGTGCTTCGACATTGGATGGACTTGATTCACTTCTGTCAATTGTGCAGGTACTCTGTTTTTGTCTCAAAATAATTTCTGGTTCTATCGGTTTGATTAATAATTTCTTTTTGGCGTATAAACATAAATTTTGGTGCATTTTTCGAGGTCACCTATTGTGATCTGTTAAATCAGTTGGTCCCTAACCTATCCCTGGAATGAGATTAAGAAGGTTTTAAGTGAATGTGCTAGCATAAGTGAATATATGGGTTTTGTAGAATTGATCTTTTTGTTTGCTTTTGGCAATTGTTTGTGCAAATTCTTGGTTCCCATTTCACGAGCATTTATGATTATTTTAAGGACTTCTGGTGCAGATGCCGAGGGGAGTTCCGGTGGCTACTGTTGCAATCAATAACGCAACCAATGCTGGTTTGCTGGCATTAAGGATGTTGGGGGTGGCAGACACGGATCTACTCTCAAGGTGCTTCTCTTATTTGCTTACGAATATATATTGTGGAACTTCAAGTAAATAAAATGAGCATATGGTACTGTTAATGTGCAGGATGAGCCAATTTCAAGAAGACACCAAGAAAAGTGTATTGAGCAAGGCAGAAAACTTAGAAAAAGGTGGTTGGGATGTGTAACCTTTACCCAAAAACCATCAATTCAAAAGAGCAAAGTAACTTTGCTTAGCCATTTCTATTTCGACTCTGCATACATTCAATAGAATTCCTGTAAGCAGCAGGAAGTGTTTTTGAGAAGTGACGAGGAAAATAAATTAATTTAGTTCAGGCAGCTATTGAGGCTATGTATGTTTACGGCTAATGTAGTTTCCTAGTCCACAACTTTACAGATCATTTATCCTCTGAATACGAATTTTTATCTTAGGGAACCTGGTTTTGCATTGGTACTGGCCGTTGGGAGTTGAAGCATTCTAACTCAAATAAGAAATAAGAATTGTGACCTCAATGAACTCATGATTCTTCACTTGCAGAGAATTATCAATGAACTCATAATTATAAAATACTATGTTTATATGTTTTATCTGTCTGCCTGCGTTCTTACACTTGCAGAGAATGCAGCAGTTTAGCCTCACAAGTTCATTACATCTAATCATCTCACAGCAAGAGGTATACTAAAAAATTTACAGGTATTAATTTACAATTTACATTTAATCTGAAATATTACGTCCTCGTTTTGTTTTCCTTTCCTTTATATGTACATGGAAAGAAAAGAGAAACCACAAGTCTCTCCCCATATTTGAAGGTGGGAATTTGCATACTCATTAACATAACAATCCCGGCCGTCCAACCTTCGGCATCAAAATTCACTAAACCTTAGAACTAGTAGTAGCTGTACCTAGGCTAGGCCACAGAGAAGATGATGCTATAGCCTTTGTTGCACTTGACGTCTATCTTTGATTTTTCATCATTTTCTTCACTTTCCTTGAGAAGCTCCTTACCACAGCCTCATCGGAAAATGTTAATGAAAGCTCCTCTTCAATACTCTCTCTTTGATTGTACCAGCAATCCTTTGAATCGGGCTCAGTATATTCTGGGGGCGTATCGGGATCTTCAGGTATATCCCGATACAAGTGTTTCAATATGAAAAGAGCAGTGTCATGATCCCTCCAGTAGTTTCTGCATGCCAAAAATCAAAACAGTTAGAACGAGCAACACTCCACTCAAAACTATTTCATTTACCAAGACAGCCTACACAGCAATGCAGTTGCAGAACCCAATTTTTTTTGGCAATATATGGAAAAGAATAACACAGTTTTTCAGGGAAAATATTGCTTAATGCATGGAGAATAGAGGGAAGGGAACGTTATTTCTACTGGATTTAAGTATACATGAAACTCACGTATGGGACTTAATGGCTTGCAGATATGGATGCTCAAAAGTTTTATCCTGCAAGTCAACGAGCTTTAATTAAAGAGAGATCAGCAGAGTTATTCTCACATAATCGATGACAACGATGTCAGGCATACAATTCAAGCTGGGAACATATATATTATTTCATAGAGCAAATGAAAGGATAAACAACCGGACAATAAGAAAAAAAGTATAAAGACGAAACCTTTGGTACAGATCACAAAAAGACTTGATGGAACTACAAAAACTATTTTTGCCTTTAAAAGGTGATTTGGATAAAAAGCATCTCGGGAGGCCTAAGACGTTAGGTTGCCCCAGTTTTGGCCAATTACAATTCATTAACTAATTTGCAAAATACTTCAAGTTGTGATACCTAAGGTAGCTCCACCATGCATCTATAGTATACTTTGTCATAGTACTTCTTAAAATTTTGGTTTCTCATCCAAAGACTAACAAAGGTATAAACTACTAACTTTTGAATCATGCATTTACATGATAACAAGCAACGGATTTTAGACGGGAAAATTCAGCATCTTGATATCATATGGTAAAAGGTGCACATACTTGAAGCATGTGATCAACCCGCCCTCCTTCACTTCCTGTCAATCTCTCCATCATTGCAACACCATAAGACTTCAGTTCTCCTCCTTGAAAATCCTCAGCTCCTTCTAGAATAGGTGCACAAATATGAGAGAGAGAGAGAGTGAGATTTCATTTTATTTATTTATAAACAAGCATGAGAAGAGGGAAGAGGGAGGAGGATGTTCTAAAAGATGGTTCTTAGTTTTTTGAAAAAAGATAACGATATCGAAAAAATACAGCACATAGTTATCCTACAGATCCTGCTAGCCACTAGTGAGTAACAATGTACAAAATCAGAGCAGACGCCGCTTTAGAAGCTGATATAATACCTTCTACACCATCTGCCTTTCTAGACTGGCAAATTGTGAGTACTTTAACCTGTCAAATAATGTACATCAGAACCGTCAGCAATTTCTTACATTAACCCAATACTTAACATATATCTTTCAGGAGGAAGATAATTGTTTTTTGTTCAACAAAGCTCTACAAAGATCCAAAACCAAACTTAAGTTACTGAACATAAATTGGGAGGTAATTCGATATATATTCCACTATCTTCATTACTGAACATAAACAACCATTACAAGGAATTCCACCCAAGAGAATGTTCTTAAAATGCATTTTAACGAGCGAAGCACTTGGGAGATAATTCCAAGTACAACTTTAACAATAATAGAAGCAAAGTAATTAAAATAATCTCAGAGGACACAATGTGGTGAAATCAAATGGTGTACTAGTGACTCATATGGTATGATGAAAGGATTTAAGAAAAGTGATTTGGAAGGTTTAAAAGGAAAAATGATTTGAAAAGAAAAATAAAAAAACCAAAGCCAAGCATGAGAAGAAGACGAAATCTTAGAACATCTAGAACAACCCACCCCCAGAGTGTGTAGATTGTCCTTCATTGCCTGAGAACGAAGAGCCAAGTTATCAGTAAATTCCTGCATAACATTCAGCAAAATCTATCAGAATCCCAAAACAATATCAATTCACAATATCAATGTAATGAAGATATTTACCCGAAATCCAATATGCAACCTCCTTCCACCTCTATGGAATGGTATAATAACAGGTCGTTCAAGCATGTACTCCTTGCAAACAAGTGGCTCTACTCTGTATAATTTTTTTATTAAAAAAAAACTTTCATTAAACGTTCTCCATAATGTAGACTGACTACCATATCAAGAACAAAAATAGAAAACAGACCGCAATTATAGATAAAAGAAAATCACAACATTTTCTTCTGTTTTAAAGGGACAGAATTCCAACTATAAAAATTATGAACGAACTCAGATACACAACAAATAAATGCTCTAGGCAAGCTTGCATGGCCAAAAAGCCAAAACAGTGTCTTCCTCAAGTCGATAAATAAAGAATGAGGGTGTCAAACAAAAAGTGCATGTGGGTCAAAGAAAAGAAAAGATGATGATGATCAAATAACAGACAGTAAATCACAAGGTGGCTGTTATAAAAATGAATCAAGCACTTAGAATGTTCAAATATGCATTCTCTATTTGCGCAATACAAAAGATCACTTTGAAAGACCTGTATGCGACCGGATCAAATGGATGAAAAATGTTAAACATTTGACGGCAAGCTGGCATTTCTTCTTTTATATTTTCTTCACCCCAATATTCTTGCCCTTTTCCTGAAGTCCAACAAATAAGTTTTTAGAAACGTCAAAATCATTTAGCGTATAAACCTAACTCTAGGAGTGCAACTGAATAACTCCAGATTCAGAAAGAACATATTGAATATCAATAACAAAATAAATAGAAACTTGCTAGTTTAATACCAAAAAGAAAAGTCCCCAAATTATCTGCAATGCAAAATCAATTTTCACATCAAAATTGATCTTGCATTGCAGAAATTTGGAGAGTCTTCTTTTCTAGGAGTTGTATACCTTGAAGAATTATCCCTGCTCATTATATCCATAAGAAGTTGTTTCATGTTTAAAAAAAAATATATATATATATATATATATACAATGTAGCTAGCATGTCACAGATGTGTGCTTACCAATTCCAATACGGATATTACGAAGTGCAAGAAAAACGCCAAGAGGAGATCCAACAGCAAAAAATGTATCAACCTAATTAGAGAAAAAAAAATTGTACATAAAATAGTTGGGGCAAATCAGTGTTCCCTGACGTTCAACAAGAAAATAAAATAATACACACATATATGTTGGAATATGTCAAAAGAATTTCTCTTCTCAATCCCACTCCTCCCACCGTACCTTAAATGCAAGCTTTTTGTACTTTATCTGAGGAGTAAAACTCATTGAATCATCATCTTGATCGGGAGGCAACTCTTCTAACATGGGTTCCTTGGGCATACCTATTAAACTTTTCTTATTTCCTGATAATGTTTCAAAGACCAAATATATCATGGGTACAATTTCTTCCCATAAGTAAACAAAGAAGTGAAACAATTAGGAGGCACCTTCATTCAATACTCCATCTGTATCCCTATTAGCAGACATCAATTCAAGTTCTGCCAATTTCTTTTTAAGATAATCAACCTGACAAATGAGAAGTTCAAATAACACATACTATAATAAATGGAGACTGTACACTGAAAGCATACAAGAATAAGTAAAACAAGACATGTATGTGCAAGTGAAAGCATACAAAAATAAATAAACCATGACATATGTATGTGTGAAATAATGCTGAGTCTACTGACCTCTTCTTTCAGGGATTTGATTATTTCATCTTCATCTTTTGAATTCTCAAATTGTAGTTCGCCAATTCTATTTAGACTGGGGACCTCTAAGTCGCAATTTTCATTTTTATTTAACTCCTCCAGCTCATCACTTGTTTGAGGAAGCCTTTTGCTGGAATCGTAATCAGCTTCCCCACAAGCATTTTCATGTTTAATAATGAGATCAGATGAATGCAATGGCACAGGATCCGCAACTATTGAAGGATCTTCCAAATGCATATTTCTCTCACCATCCTCTTTAGCAAGTTGTACAATGTCTGCACATCCATAAACTGCAGTAGAACAATTATTCTCCGTATTGCAAGAAGAGTTCTGTGCAGAGGATTGATCATGCACCCCCGAGAACCCTTCACTTCTAGCATGTTCCCCATACATCCAATCCATTGGAAAAGGAGATGACAGATTCTTCTGGTGGCAGAGGATATCATATGAAAGGACACTTCCCAAAGAATGTCCATATATGGAAACCTAATTAATAATACAAAATACATAAAAATACCCAATTTGTATAATCGATTTTAACAGAAGTTAATAGTAAGGAAAAAAAAAACTTTAAGCCACATACCTTTCCATCATATCCTGGATTCCTTCTAAGAAATTTCATATAAAGTCGGTTTAATTGGTTAGATACCTGAAGAGAAATGTAAATACCCGTTTAGTCCTCTAGAGCAAAGTAATGTTTGAAGAGCTTATATCATGAAAATCTGTCAGTGCTACATAACCAGTATTATATCATTTGTAAACATGATGCCTCATAATCGAGTGTCATTCACAAAAAGGTTTCTTGTAGTCGCTGCATTTATTGGATTATTTAAAGCTGGAAAAAGCTTATGTAATGGTTTTTTCCTGGCAAGGGAGTTCCCCTTGGCCTACAAGTTGTATTTTCTTTTTAGTTTTTATAATCTCCCCAGTTTCTTATCATAAATATATATCTCACAACTAAATCGACAAGGTTCTAAAATCTTGAATCAGCAATAACCAAAACACCCTAGCAAGTTTCAAGAAGAGTTCATTGCTTATAAGGCAAAAAAAAATTACTTTCCTTCCGCCAACAAAAGTTGATTCACATTCAGTAAATGTGGAAGACGAAACCTTATTAATTCCCAACTAATCTTGGTGACTGGTCATAATTCCATTGAGCCATGTACTGAGATTGAGAGTTTGGCGAATAATTAGCCATGTAATGAGATTGCAACTCTTTTTAGCATCACCCTTCTTTATAACATGGCGGCTATAGATTTCATTAAGGCTAGTATATTAGTGCACGATAAGAGGGCAAAGTTCACAAGGCAGGTATAGGTGTCACCCTTCTTTGATGATATGTATCATTTGCATAAGAATTATATATACTGTCATGAAAGAGCGAAACTGACAAATCATATGTCAGTTAACCCATCAACAAAGAACTATGAAGAACAAGTATAGATAAAATGAAAACATTGGACAGCAGCAATCTAAACAAAGCATGCAATACCGAGTTGATGATGTCTTGACAATATATGGGACTCATGTAATATAAAACATCATGAGCTGTCGCACCCAACATGACACGCAAACCCTTCACTCCATCTAAAGTAATTTTTTCAACAGCAGCCTCACCACTAAGCTTCAGACCCTTCCTCCACTAAAAAAAAAAACAAAAAAGTTAAATGGAAATGGCATAATAATAGGGATCAACAAGGTGAAATATAAAAAATGCCAAGAAGCAAAGAAGGGTTTCTTAGCTACCTGGCATGGGATAAAGAGGACTCTTTGAGTGCTACGTTGGTGTAAAGTGAGGTGCCGCTCTCCAAGACTAGATGTAATATGCCGAAAGTTCCCAACATCATCAACTAGATTAGATTTCTCCAACCTTTGACCAATACCATGAACCATAAACACAAGGTGTCGAACAGGAACCTAAAGCAACAACCTCAGATGAATGATGTGGCTTCCAAAGTGACATGGTATATGCAGAAAATTTTATAAAATCAAGTTAATTATTAAATTATCAAATAAATACAAAAATGACGAGAGAGTTCAAATCATTAAATTAATCGAGTAGTTTCACAATTCGGAAATCCATATAGTTTTTTGCATTCACCGAATAAGACAGTTATATATGGTTGTCAAGCAGATTCAAACTTCAAACAAAGGTTCAACACCTTATCCATCTAAATTAGTGAAGAACCATCCAAGCATGTAAAGAAGGGATAAATCCTCAATGCCAGGACTATATTATCCTTAAAATAGATGAAATTATTTAAGAACAGTCATAAAACATCAGTTGGTTATTTAAAGGGAATACTTAAACTTCAAGTTACTGTTCCAAATCTTATCTTATTATCAAAGAGCTTGAAAACACGTAATATATACTTCTGGGGAAAGGGGGGGGGGGGGTATTATTC